GCCACCATCTTCCCGAGAGGCCTCTGCTCTACTCCCAGGATCCTTTGGGGGCTACCGAACACAAAGTGGGAATTGACACTGGTGTAGGGCACCACAGGGATTCTCCTGGCTTCCTTGTTTATCTGCAGATAATAGCAATGATAGCAAGGTCACAGGATATAAAGTTAATATACAAAAGTTGGTTGTTTGCCTGTATTCCACAAATGAACAGTAACTGGTATTTGAAATTAAAAATGCAAATGCCATGTACCCCCCCCTCAAAAAAAGGAGGGGGGAATATATTGGTAAAATCCCACTATCCACAAGAAATTAATTAAGAAAAATATCTATGGATAAATGGCAGAAAGATCAATAGAGGAAAGAGGGTGTGGGCAGGAGGTGGGGAGAGGAAAGGGGAAGGAAAGGAACTGGGGATTGGATTAGAACAAAATATATTCCAGCTTTTATAATTAAATCAAAATTGATGCTATTATCATGTATCACTAAAAATGACCAATATAAGGGAAAAGAAAAAAATGGGTACAGGATCTATATGCTAAAATTACAATTGTCTGATGAAAGAAATCAGGGAAGATTCAGACAGTTGAAGAGATCTCCTAGGCTCTGCTTCCGGCCTCTGTGCTCCAGCATGCCCCCCCCCCCCAGCTCTGCCTCCCACAGGCCCAGGCACAAAGGAGCCAGCCAACCACGGACTGAAAGCTCCGAAACTCTGGCCTCAAGTAAATCTTTCCCTCCTTTAAGCTGACTTCTGTTAGATAGTTTGTCATAGCAACAGAAAGCTGACAAACACAGCGGGACTTTACTAAACTTAAAAACTTGTGCTTTTAAGACACTTTTAAGAGAATAAAGAAGCAAGCCGACAACTGAAAGAAACTATTTGCAAAACACACCTCAGAACCTCCTTGCATACAAATGAGTTTAAGAATTCAACAATTAAGAAAATGAACAACTAATTTTAAACCATGAGCAAAAGATTTGGAAATCTCATCAGGGAAGATATGCCTATGAAAACATGTTCACCATAATTTGTCAGCAACCACAAACCAAAACGATGAGATACCACTGCACAACAAGGAGGAATGTGCGCTGTGACAAGAAAACATCACTATGTTGTGAATGTATGAAACAACCTCACGGACACCGTAGAAGGGAAGGTATGGACCTAAGTGACTGGAGGCAAAGAAGCTGCTCATGAGCATTGGATTCTGGTTGCTAAAGCTATCCCCTGGGGCTTATATTGACAATTCTGATTTTGGTATGCATGGACAGAATAATTAGGAAGATGGTGGGAGTCAAGGTTCTCACCATGGGAGTGGGAATTTACAGATAAGAAAAGGGAGGAGGCTGGAATGATCCACGTGGTAATGGATTACAGTTGGAGACACTGGTATGAACTCATGCTTAACTTAACATAGTCACAGGTGGTGACAATAGACACACACACACCCTCACCCACACACCACTTCTTTGCCAACTGAAAGGCCCCAAAGAAATGATTGCTCAGTAGTAACAAACACCTAGTGCCCACATCGTAGTTTCTAATATCATTCTCCAATACACCGAACCAGGAATCCTTGAAAATTGTCCTGATTTTTTAGGACTGGGCCAGCAATGTACAAAATCAACTGGAACTTGTTATAGTACCAGACAGTAAAGAAATGCCGGAAACAAACAACAACAACAACACAAAAGCAAAGCCAAAGGTCAACAACACCAACAAATTTATTTTAGCTGAGAGTGGTGGTGCACCCCTGTAACGCCAGTGACTCGGGAGGCTGAGGCAGGAGGACAGCAAGTGTGAGGCCAGTTTGGGTAACCTAGCCTGACCCTATCACAAGATAAAAAATCAGAAGGGCTGAGGAGGTAGCTCAATGGCTGAGCACCTCTCCGTTCAATCCCCAGTACCCCAAAGAAAGAGAAGAAAAAATAAAAGAAAAACTTAAAAAATTCATACTGATGGAAGTATTTCAAAGGACATGGGAGACACGAAAGAGCTCCCAAAAGCCCAAACTGGAAAATTAACAGAAAAAAAAAGAAAAGAAAAGAAAAGAAAAGAAAAACGAACTAGAAGTACTATTGGATTATAGCCCCAAGTACAAAATAAATATCTGTGAATCCAACTGACTTAGATAAATGATTAAATGAATGAATAAGGGGAAATTCCAAATAATGTATACGGAGACTCCATTCGCAATGATGGAGAGCTCTCGGTACCATTCTGAGCCTGGCATAAGGACTTCTTTCAGAGTTCAGTACAGAGTGGGGCCAGGGGTGGGAGTAGAGAAACTTTATAGTGGAGGAATCTGACTCACTCTCTCAGCCAAGGGATCAAAATTAGTATGGGCTCTGGTGAGCTGTATTTGACAGTGTGCGTATTGGTAAGATGTGACGAAACTGGTACTTCATCTCTGCAGTCTCCCCGTAAAAGTCTACCCTCCAGTCATATCATGAGGAAGACGTCAGACGGACTCAGCTGAGGGACATTCCTCAAAATACCTGACAGTAATTGTCAGGGTCATCACAAACAAGGAGAATCTGAGAAGTCAACACAGTACGGAGCAGCCTCAGGAGAGGACTAGGTACACTGTGACATGCCGTGGGTGGGTACAGGAATAGCAAAAGGACCTTAGGTAAGAACTGAGGAATTCTGAACAGACTACGAAATTTAGTTAATTATAATAAAAAAACACCCTGATTTTGTTTTATCAGTTGTAACAAATGTACCCTACTAATGTCAGGTTTTAACAATAGGAAAAACTGGTTGGGTAGTATATGGAAAACTCTCTCAACTATTCCCTCAACTTTTCTATAAATTCAAAATTGTTCTAAAAAGTAGAGTGTGTTATGGCTTTCTTTCTAACTTCCACATGTGAGGACACAGTCAACCCTGCACTCTCTGAGTCTGGCTTATTTCACTTAGCAGGATGTTCTCCGGTTCCATTCATTTACCAGCAAATAACACAATCTCATTCTTCTTTAGGGCTGAGTAAACTCCATTGTGCATGGGTACCACATTTTCTTCATCCATTCATCTGTTGGCAGACACCTTGGGCTGGTTTCTTAACTTGACTGTTGTGAATTGGGCTGCTGTAAACCTTTGTCTGCATGTATCAATGGAGGATGCTGGTCTTAGTTTGGTGGATAAATATAAAGGAGTGAAACAGCTGGTTGGCCCTGGTGGTTCCATTACCAGACTTTTGAGGAACCTCCATCTTGATTTTGGATCTCACAAAAACAGAAGGGAGATCAGGAGGGTAGAGGAGGGGATCCAGGGGGAGGGAGGAGGAGAGGGGAAAAGGAGGTACCAGAGAATAAAAAAAAAAAGAAAAAAAAATCATGCTATGTGCAGGTAGAATCTATCACAATGAATCCCACTTTTGTGTATAATTATAATGTACCAATTAAAAAAATAACAGGGAAATCAGTAGAGGAGAGGAGGGGGATCCTGGGGAGGGAACAGGCAAGGAGAGTCATGGTTCTGGGGAATGAAATCGATCAAATCAGGCCATGTGCATATACAATATGTCATCATGAGTCCTGCCATTGTGCATCATTATAACACACCTATGAAACACTAAAATTAAATTTCAAAAAAAGCCAATTTCTATTACAATAACAGCAATCACCTACGACTTAAAGGAAATCTGTCCGTGTTGGACATGTGGGGCACTTCTGATCACTTCTTTCTGTGACCCCAATCTTCCCACCCAGTCCCATCCAAGTTCACTCTTAGAACTCGAGTCTGCTTTGTCGTGATCTAAGGGACGAGAACACTGCCAGTGGGCTGACCCAAGGAGTAATGAGGTTCAGCAGGAATTTTAGGAACCCCTTGGGATGGGTAGACCGCGGGGGTGTGGATACGGAGAGCGAGAGAGACCAGCTTGAAGGCTGTTGCAGCAGCTCAGAGGTGGGAAGAGACCGCAGCCTGAGCGTAGGACTCCATCCTGACGTCATTAACCAGGTGGCAGGATTCCTAAGGAGGAGGCATGATGAGCTTGGCTGGGGGTTGGGTGGGGAGTGAGGAATTCTAAGTACCGTTCAGGTCCATGGAGTTTGAGTGCCTGCGGACACTTCAGTGGGGAAACCCCCATATACCCTGTGCCTGCGGTAGAATAGCTCTGAACCACCTGCTGAGATGACATGGCTGAATAGTTAGGGCAAGTCATCGGAGGGGTTAGGGGCAGGGCTCGTCTCAGGAAGGAGAGAGCCCCAAGTCCTAATGTGACTGACGGCAGTCAAGGCTCCGAAGTGCCAGGAGCCAGGGTGCAGGAGGAAGCTAATGGCTGCCACAACTTCTGATCTCTATTCCTCCTGCCCACTCAGTATTTCTGGTTCCTGCTTTCCAACCTTTACTTCCCTTAAGGACAATGTCACTTTTCTTCAGAGACCAGTCCTGGGAATGTCTCCTCTCCTCACCTGACAATTCTGCTTCTATTGCTTTTCTAAAAAAAAAAAAAAATTAACCAAGTAGGCAGTCCAATAGACTCTTAGAAATTATGAGGACGTCCTATAGTGAAAACACAAGAAGCGAAGCTTTGGGCTATTTCCAGGGAAGAAATCAGAATCCTGACGGAGCTCCAAATCTGCCTGGCATCTTCCCAGTCCCCTCCCATAGGTGAGGCATCAAACCAAGTTGGAAAATGTAGGGCTGAGCTCTGCCCTGGGTTAGGCCTGGGGTCTCTATGGGTAGTGAAAGACAGTATTGGACAGGGATAAGTCTATCCCCCCCCACCACCAGAATAAATTTATCTTCTCCTCCTGGAGGGCAAGTATTGCTTTTAGGTGCACATGTGATGTTGTTTTTGTTTTTCTCTGAGTTTTGAGTCTTTTTCAGAAACTGTCGCACACAGTGGGTGGTTTCAGAGTAAAATAAAATGTAAAAAAAGGAGTCAAGATATTTGCCCTCCTTTGAGAATTGGACAAGGGAGGGTCAGTAGCAGCCATTGACCCATTCACAGGTTTTTATGTGGTGAGAGACAGAGGAGAAAAAGCCAGAGAAATCGAGGACCTCAGGATTTATTACGTACGATTGTGTACACTCACAGATTCAGTGATGGTACTGGGTGAGTTTAGGGTTAGTGTAATAGTGACAGTCCTTCAGGCAGAGGCTCAGGTTGCCCAGGATTAGGACTGGGCTCCTGGAGGTGGGTGCTGGGTATAACCCCCTCTCTCCCAGCCCCTAAAGGGACAGGCAGAGGGTCAGGCAGGCAGGTCCACAATGAGTGGGCCCCCAGAGGACCAGAAGAAAGTGAGTCTGAGTTCTCTTCCCTGTGTGGGAGGGTCTGTGTGCCTCCGGGACACTGGAGGTACCTACTTAAGTTTGGTCACGTCAACACCTGCTCCTGCTGCCGTTTCCCTGCAGGGTGCGAGAAGTTCTCCCTTTAGTGCCTGGACTGGCTGGATCTCTTGGACCTGGGCAGGGCCTGGGGCAAACCCGGGCTGCTCCAGATGCTCCTCCTGCGGCTCCAGGCACCCCAGTTCCTGATCCTGTCTCAGATGCTCCTTAAGCTGCTGCTCCCTTTGTGTTTCCTCTTGCTCCAGAATTTTTGCTCCTTGGGGTTCTTCATGCTGTGGCTGGCCCTGCTGCTGCTGCTGTCCCACATGCAGCTCCTGCTCCTGTGGGTGGCCCTGCTGCTGCTGCTGCTGTCCCACATGCAGCTCCTGCTCCTGTGGGTGGCCCTGCTGCTGCTGCTGTCCCAGATGCAGCACCTGCTCCTGTGGTCCCTGATGCTGCAGGTGTCCCAGATGCAGTTCCTGATCCTGTGGTTCCTCCTTCTGTTGCTTTCCCAAATGCAGCTCCTGCTCCTGTGGCTTCTGTTGCTTCTGCTTTCCCAGATTCAGCTCCTGCTCCTGTGGCTCCTCCTTCTGCTTCTTGCCCAGATGCAGCTCCTGCTCCTGTGGCTCCTCCTTCTGCTTCTTTCCCTGATGCAGCTCTTGCTCCTGTGGCTCCTCCTTCTGCTTCTTTCCAAGGTGCAGCTCCTGCTCCTGTGGCTCCTGTGGTTTCTGCTGTCCCAGATGCAACACCTGCTTCTGTGGTCCCTGCTGCAGTTGCTGCTGTCCCAGATGCAGCTCCTGTTCCTGTGGCTTCAGATGCTGCTGCTTTCCCAGATGCAGCTCCTGCTCCTGTGGTCCCTGATGTTGCTGCTGCTGTCCCAGATGCAGCTCCTGCTCCTGTGGCTCCTCCTGCTGTTTTCCCAAATGCAGCTCCTGTTCCTGTGGCTTCTGATGCTTCTGCTGTCCCACATGCAGCTCCTGCTCTTGTGGTCCCTGCTGCTGCTGCTGCTTTCCCAGAT